TCTATGGTGCTGGCAGACTTGAAAGACCCTTGCCTCAGATCCTCCAAAGGCAGCATATGTGCAGGCAGAGGTGTATTACATGGTCCAAATGGGCATATAGCTATAGACTTGCACCGACGGGTGAATGTAGGATACAAATGTACATAAATGTGTATATATATATATACCAATAAATGTAAACAATATATACATACATATATATATATAGTATTAGGATGTTATGTAGGCATATGGTATCACATGCCTTTCTAGCACCTTTCCACATATTTCGCAGAGTCCACCTTCCAAAATCCCCACTGGTCCAGTCTCCGTCTGCCTCTCTCCCTCTCTAGCTATGTGTTCAGGACCGATGAGCTGAAGCTGTCTCCCAAGTCCTACGTTTTGTCCAAGGACTTGGAGGTGGAGGTGCCCAGTGTCCGTGCCTAGGCCCCCAAGCGAGCCAAACGTGTCCGGGTGTCCGCCCAGTGTCCGGCGGCTTCCGAATGACCGGGCCGGAGGCACCGGGTGACTGCCACAAAAGCTTTCTGGACAGAAAAGGAATGAAAAGGATGATGTGTGGAGATCCATCTTCTCTGTTTGATGGAATTCTTGCAGAAGGTGGATGTTTGCGAAGTCAAGCAAGGCCTGCACTGTGCTGTAAAGTGCAGCATCCTGGATCCTGTTAAACCTTGTCTTGGATACTTTATTTTATTCTGTTACCTTGGAGCAGGTAAGGCGCCCAAACCTTTCGCAGATGATCAGGTGCTGGCCAACCATGTTGGCTTACGCTGTGATTCATGATTTGGCTCCAAGGAAATGTGTTGGGCTTTCCACTGAAGACTACGGAGAAGGCGACCTGGCCTGAACAGTGCTTCAAATCCCAGCATGGCTCGCAGTCGCACCACTCCCAAGACTTGTATAATTGCTAATGATTAGCTAATGTTGACTCTTGATTTATCAACCCCCCTTCTCCCTCCCTCCTCAACAAATTGGAGACCCTTAAAAATTATGATACATAGAAAACCAACCAATCGATGAAAACATTTAAACGCATTACTTAGCTACCTCTGTAGCTACTCTGGCAATACTAAAATGAAAGGAACAACAGAAAAACATGAGGAACACAACAAAGAACAATAGAAACATATGTTCCAAAAATATTAATCCAAAAAATAGACATTATTCTGGGGGCCTTTATTAATCAGTGCAGGGAAAAAAAAAGCTAACATTATTCTGGGGGCGTTTGTTAATTAGAGGTCCACATTAGGTTTGGCACGTTTGGATTTGCATTTGGACCTAGCCTGTGCGCAGGTGGTGGGTTGGGCCCCCCCTCGGACGATGGTTGCATTATTGTTTGATTGTCTTGGTCTCGAATTCAAGCGGGCTACCGGTAGTTGCATCACAAGGAACTGAGCACCTGCCGCTGCAGGTCACACCCTTCAAATGCCTCGATTGGGCTTGCAGGATCTTATAGGACTCTAACTGTGGCTTGCTTCAGGCATTCCGAGGAAGCAGAACGCACCCCCTCCGGCGGGCCCGCTGACGCTCATTCTGCTGTCGCACAGCTGGGCGCTCAAAAACGCGCGACTGAGGGGGTGAAGACCGTTTGTTCCATGGCCTTCACACCTACGAGCTACATGACGATCAGCGATGGCATGATCTGGATTCTTGGAACACCGCTCTTCTACGAGCACCTCGGTAAATCGAGATAGAAACGACTTCCCAGACACCTTGATGGAATCTAGAAACCGTTCGTTTGTGGGCTCTCGGAGGTGTTTCACAGGCAACAAAAAGCACGTGTGTGGGCCTATGCTGTCTTCAGATGTCTTCAGATGCAACCTATTTTTTTATTGAAACATGAGCAGCAGAGACCTGCGTTTGATGCCCCTACCATCCTCTACCGGTGCTGACATGGAGCGCGGTGAAACTCAAACAGAGGGGGGGGGGGCAAGCATGGCAAGCTGTCAGGTACACTGCTCATTATGACCGTGGCACTGGGAAAGAAGAAGAGATCACCGTGGGCTTTGTCCACCAAGATGATGAACCCTGCGGGGAATGCGATGCAAAGACCAACGAAGTGAGGCAGATCGACGTCTCAAATTCACCGTAGTCAGCATGGGGCGAGAAGAGGGATGTAGTGATCCGCGACCGCAGTCACCCATGTTGACCCCTGACCTTTTGACACCGGGAAGGGGTTGACCATAGTATGAATTGATGAAGTAGGTGAACAGTTAAGTGAACATAATTTAGTATAAGGTGATCGAAGCCACCATGTTTGTTCGAGGCTTTTGAAGCTAAAGACTTCACCCTCCACCATCCACCATCTCCACCATCTCCACCTCTCCACCGCCACTCTGGCCATACCGGGTTCCCCGGTGCCAGCGCTCAGCTGGTCTTGTGGAACACAGGATGTCAAAGGATATCAATGCCATTCAACGGTCAACAGGTGATGACTCAGCCCATCTCCACCCCACTTGATGTTTAACGACGCCGGGAAGATGGAGCGCGTCTCAGGCCTTCCCAGTCTCTCATCGACAGTAGTGCGACCACAGGGTTGCAGCAATTGATCTACCTCTCCAAGCAGCCGGTCTTGCGAACCTTGGACGTTGCCTTCTTCAGATTGGATCATCTCAATCACGGGTGCACTAAAACAGATGTCCCAACTTCCTCCACGACTCCACTAATTGATGTCATATATATATATATATATGCAAGAAATCCTTTCTTAGAAGCTCTGTCAACGAGCATGGTTTCCGAGCTTGGGTTCAAAAGGGATCGCAAGGCTTATCCCGGTCGCGTTGCCACCGCATTCGAGCCATTTCGTTCACTTCGCCCCTCCGTTGAGCTTGAGAACATAGGCTGCCGTGCATGGTAGCGGAGCCTACGGGCTCTTGCTAGATCCAGGTCACTATAGCTGCAACTGCTTAGGCGGCTGCAGAATGTCGGCAGGAGAACGAGGAGTTCTACAGGTTGAGAGGACAAAGGAGGGAGTGCCAATCTGGGATGGGAATGCTGCAACATTCCAGGAATACTCAGAATTGGCCTTACACTGGGAACAAAGTGTTGCTCACCACAAGCCATACCTATGTGGCCCACGCTTGCAGTCAGAGTTGACAGGCACCACCAGACGTTTTGTCATGGCAATGAAGCCTGGCTGGATCTCTTATGATGGAGGTGTGGACCTTTTACTGACACACCTCCGACGCCATCTAGGACAGCCTCAGCTGACCGAAATGTCGGAATACCTGGGAAGGTATTTCAAGCAGTCTCGTCGAAAGAGGCATGAGTCCATGAATGACTACATCACAAGGAAAGGTGAGATCTACGCCAGAGCCTGTCAGACTTTGGAGCGTGTGCAACAACGATATTCTCCAGGATCGGGACACTCAGTTCCCGGAAGATCCCATCCTGGTGGTACAGCAACACCTTGGTCGCAGTCATACAGTTACATAACAGGTGGGGGCATCTCTCAGTCGGGTTCAGGGGAAGCGCAATCCAATACTGGTCCAGATGATGAGCAGTCGTTCCATGATGCAGAAGAATCGTGGCCCAACCAGGATTCGTGGGGTGCATCAGAGTGGACATGGGGTTCCTGGGACTGGAGTTCGGATTCGCAATGGAGGACCCAACAGCAGTCTTCCTATACATGGGAGAAAGAAGTGACTGAGTTGATTCCCACATTCGTCCAGGGATGGTTTTTGTTGCAGGATGCTGGTCTTGATGCTCAGGAGAAAAACATGATCCTGACCGCCTTGAAGGACAACTTCTCGGTTGAGCGCGTCGCCCAGGAGCTGCGCAATCAATGGCCTGACCAAGACTTGAGGCACAAAGACCAATCCGGTAGAAGTACCGCCTGGACAGTTGATGAAGCCCCCAGTGATGATGATATGGCAATCGGCGACCGGCAAGGCCCCGACATGGGCTACTTGGTGCAGTATGGCATGAATGAAGAAGGTCTATCCATTATGGAGGAGGCCGAAAGTGAAGCGCAAGAAGCGCTGGCTATGATGGATCATGGTCGAAAGACCCTTCGTGAAGCTCGAGCCAAGCAGCACCAAGTGAAGATGAGCCGCCAGTACTACCGAAGCTACACCTCAGGCAACAGGTCATCAGCAGGGAGTTCAACAACCAGGTCAACCAATCTGGCCAATATCAAATGCTTGAATTGTGGCGTGATGGGACACAAAGTAGCACAGTGCCCGAAGCGTGCCTTGCAGACTTCGGACAGTGCTCATGAGGCCCATGAGACTCCTGCAAGTGCACCTTTTGTGTGTAGCGCAACCGACCTTGACACCGCACATGTGGCCAAGGAGGGCCTATCCACTCATGAGGCCATGAACCGTGGTATGGCAATCCTGGATGGTGGAGCCACAAAGACTTTGGGCTCAGTACATGCAGTTGAGCAGCTGATGTTACTGAATCAGAAAAATCATGGCTCCGATGGGATCAAGCGCATTGACAACACGCTGCGCCCGACGTTTGGATTCGGGAATTCCTCCAGTGACAAGTGCATGTCAACGGCATGGCTTCGAGTCCAGGCCGGCGGTAGAGATGGTGAGCTCAAGGTCCATACCTTGGACCGAGGCTCGAGCCCCATTTTGTTCAGCATAGAAACGCTGAGGGCTCTTGGAGCCATTATCGATTTTGCAAAAGCTCCGGTGCCCAGTCTACAGAACTTCATCTAGGGACAACTCCTCCCTACTCCAGAGTCCGCCGGAGAAAGGGAGGTGGCCAATGCCAAAGCGGATATGGGAAGCAAGATCTCTGAAACTGAGAGAACTGTTGATTTTGTTTCGGGTGTGTTTGATTCTTTGAATAGTGACACTGTTGAAGCGGGAAAACATGTGAATAGTGATATTTGTGTGAATTCGTTTGAACATGATCCTGAGGAGTCTCTACTATCTACCCTAGGGAACACACCCAACACGTCATGCACACCATACACCTCACAGCAGCTCACCAACACTCAAGCCAGTGACGAGAAAGGCTCTTCTCACTCAGCCCAACCACGGCATGTATACATGTCAAAGGCCGAGATCATCGAAGAGATCGCTCGCTTGGGGGAATTGCCTCCCAAGAGCTGGAACAGGACGGAGTGCATGATTCGCATGGAAGAACTCCGGACCGCCCATGGGTTGACGCCCAATCCCAAAGCCAAGACAGTCACACCACTGAGGACCATGATGGTCCAACTCAATGCTGCAGCAACCAAGAAGGCCAACCTCGTGACCTTCGTGAAGGAGTTGGGAGTGGTGGTCGCTCCCAACGACACCATTCCCATCTTGCAGAAGAAGGGAGCCTTGGCCATCTACGATCGGGCCCCAGCAAGTCCAGAGGACCCAGTAGGCTTCGGGATGCATGCAGCCAAAACCTACCAGGAGATCCTGGTCCACGAGGCCAGCTACCAGCGGTGGGTGATCCAAACCTTCGAGGAACAGGAGGGACAAGCCTGTGCCCGCCTGTGTCGCCTTGCTCGATGGCTACTCGACCAGCGAGCTCAGAAGGACATGACGCCCATGAACGACACACATGCTCCAGCTCCAATCACCCGAGAGGAGTTGATGTCCAAGGGTTACAAGACTACCAAGGTGGAGCCGGACGCCAGGTCCAAGATCTCGAAACAATCCGGAGCTTCATCCAGCACGACGCAGTCAGTGCTGGTGGCCTTAGTGGAGACAGTTCAAGAGCTGAAGGAAGAGGTTTCCAACCTCAAGGGCAGTCAGGGAGAGCCTCCTCGCAAGAAGGCACCGTCCTCCAGCGAAGCCAGTGCTCAGAGCTTCGAAATGGTCCAGAGGCCTTAGATCAACTGGCCGCCAGTGAGCTTAGTGAGAGTTCCTGCCTTAGCAAACCTCCAGACTCAGAAGGCGGAGTCCTTAGCTCTGAACAACTGTTTTTGAAGAAAGGTGAAACCAAACGTTTGAAACGATGTCGTGATGAACTCCTTTCTCAAACTGTTCGTGACTTGGTTCCGAAAGAGCAGCTGATATTACTGGAGGTTGCTTGTAGTGAAACTAGTGTCCTTTCTACCACCATGCAGGATCTCACACAAGATCCACACTCAGCCAAGAGATTGTCCATTTGGAATGGTTTTGATTTGACCAAGGGTTCTGGTGTGAAGGGTGTGTTGGATGTGATAGACCGTGAAAACCCGAACATGTTTGGCTGTCCCCCGAGTGTGGCCCTTTTAGCATGATGCAGAATATCAATCAACGAACTGAAACGCAGTGTCAAACCTTGGAGGAAAAACGAAAGGACGCTCTGCGGCAGTACGTGGGATGCGCGATCATTTACAGGTATTGCTATCAACAAGGGATCCACTGCACTTGGGAGCTTTCCCAAACATGTCAAGCGTGGCGCCTCCCCGTGATTCAGAAGGTGGTGAAACAATGTCAACCCTTTTTCGCGGTGACCCGGGGATGCCAAGTGAATTTGAGGGACAAGAAGAATCGGTTCATTTCTAAGGGTTGGAAAACCATGTCGACCCACCGTGTTTTGTCGGAACGCCTTCAACTTCCGTGCATGTGTGGTAGAGTAGTGATTCATGCTCCTTGTGAAGGGAATGTCACTAAGAGCACGGCCATGTATACTCCTGAATTCGCTAAACGCGTGTGCCAGGTGATTTTGAAACATGGTGATGAATCCTTCTTGGTGAAAGACCTCCAAGGGAAGAATTTGGTGGGCGACCATTCTGGTTTGGGTTCGGTGTGCGCGTGTCATGAGGTTCGGTTCCATGGCATGGAGGTTCCTTGTGGGTCCTGTAGTCAGGCCTTTCAACATGAACATCATGCTTGTACGGCCGATAACCATGACGCCGTGTTGAGACGCCCGTTGTCGGACGAGGAGATTCGACGTCGCTTGTATCTTCTTCACTCGTCGACGGGTCACGGTCCGGTCACTCACTTGTTGCAGGCCCTGAAACGGAAGAACGTGGCCCCCAGAATTTTGGAACTCGCGAAGGACTTCAAATGTTCGGTTTGTGATGAACGTAGAAGACCTCAACCTAGGAACCTTTCTTCTCTCGAACCTCTGCCCCCTCGTTTCGAAACGTTGTCGGCTGACATTGGTCACTGGATTCATCCTGTTACTCACGAAAAATGGCAGTTTGTCATGATGGTTGACGAAGGTTCGAGGTATCGGGTTGCTCGCATGATCCTTCATGGAAAGCAAAAACATGTTTCTGCCAGCCAGTTCATTTCAGTCCTCCAAGAGAGCTGGGTATCTTATTTTGGATACCCACGTACTCTCAGGGTTGATCCCGATGGGGCATTTCGTAGCCATGAACTGGCCACCTTCTGTGACCAGCAACAGATCTTTTTGGACATCATACCGGGTGAAGCACACTGGAAGTTGAGTGTCTGCGAACGCAGCATCCAGGCAGCGAAACATGTGATGGAATGCCTGGCATCAGAGGACACCACACTCACAGCAGAACAAATCTTGGCCGAAGCAATTCGCACCTTGAATCATCGTGAAGTGGTGAGAGGGTACTCACCAGTGCAATTCATACTAGGTCGAGCTCCAGATGAACACGGAAGATTCTTTTCCCCTGCTAGAGATGTGAGCACTCATGCAGAGCTACCGATGGCTACAGAGACCATGGAGCGTGATCAGAATTTGCGCTTGAAAGGAGAAAAGTCCTTTTTGGATTGGATCGCTTCGGAGCGCATACAGAGAGCCACACATTCCAAACATCGTAGGATTCTGGATTTTTCCGCAGGTGACTTGGTCTTTGTTTGGCGCAAGCAGTTGACAGGAGAAGATGCAAAACAAAACAAGACAGGCCAGGGTCGCTTTGTTGGTCCAGCTCGCATTTTGGCAACAGAAAACACCCGTGATGAAAATGGACATCTCAAAGCAGGAAGTTCAGTTTGGTTGGTACGAGGCCGACGCCTCATCAAATGCTGCCCTGAGCAGCTCCGACATGCTTCAGAAAGGGAAACACTCCTTACTGAACTTCACGACCCTCGAGAAGTACCCAGGTGGAATTTCCCTATAGTGGCCGAGGAGCTGGGAAACAATGACTATGAAGATCTGTCAGATCATCCGACAGAAGCAGAATGGAGAAGAGCAGGGAATCCCCTCCATGAATGGCAACCTTCATTTCGAGCATATGGCAAGACAGCTCCCAAAGAACCACCAATCCGGACAGACCGACATCGAAGCAGAAGTCCTAGACCTCTGCCTCCTCGAGAATCAGACCATGAAGTAGCGCGCAGTCGGAGTCCACCGCCTCACGAACGAGCATCAGGTTCAGGACCCATTCAATCAGAACCAACAGGTTGTGTCTTCACAGCAGCACCACATTGGACCGAGCAAGTACAAGAAAGCTATTTTTCAGGTGAGCAGTCCTCCCGAGACGATCTCCGAGCAGTGGCTTTTTCCATAGAGATTGAGATGCCCGACAGTCGATCTGGTACAGAAAAAGCTTTGAAGGACTTGCAAGCCTATTTTGTTGGTGCTCTGAAGCGCAAAGCAGTCGAGATCTCCGAGCGCACCCTCACAAATGCAGAGAGACAGGAATTTCAATCCGCCAAAGCAGTGGAAGTGAACAACTTCATCGCTGCCAAAGCCTTTGAAGCACTCCCTGCAGGAATGAGGGTGAACAGATCAGAAGCTGTCAACATGAGATGGCTCCCCGTCTGGAAAGTAAAAGAAGATGGTACCCGAAAGGCCAAGGCGAGAGCAGTGCTTCAAGGATACCAAGACCCAAAGTATGAAGAAAGAGCAACATACTCCCCTACAACAACCAGGCAAACCCGACAGTTGCAATTACAAATAGCAGCTTCAAGAGGGTTTCAGACCAAAAAGGGAGATGTCACAGGTGCCTTCCTTCAGTCAAGAGCTTACCCAGATGACTTGCTGTGCATTCCTTGTCCCGAAATATGCACTGCCATGGGTTTGGCCCCAGGTTCAATTACAAAGGTTCGTCGAGCATGCTATGGTCTGGTCGACGCACCACTGGAATGGTACAGGTCGATTTGTTCATTCTTCCAGAAGTTGAACCTCAGAAGATGTTGGAGTGATCCTTGCTGCTGGATTCTAGCGCGTAATGGACAACTACATGGAATCATTTCTGCTCATGTTGATGATTTTCTGTTTTCCGGACGAACTGATGATCCAGTATGGCAGAGCGTTGAAGCAGCTATCAAACAAGAATTTCGTTGGAGTGATTGGGAGGAGAATCAGTTCACTCAATGTGGAGTGCAGATCACAAGAGAACCTGACGGCTCCTACACATTGAACCAGAAGCACTATGCAGAAGAAATCCCATACATCAACATTCGAGCCTCCCGTCGACGAGAACGTCACGCCCCGACAGATGACCTCGAAAAGACCCAATTGAGGGCCTTGCTGGGTGGAGTCAGTTGGTACAGCCAACAGGTGGCACCGCACTTCTCTGCAGACGTGAGCTTGTTGCTGTCAGAAGTGAACCAGAGTTCCATTGACACATTGTACAGAGCAAATCGCTTGCTTGACCAGGTCAGAAACATGAAAGATCATCATTTAAAAATTCATAAAATTGATTTGAATTCTTACGCAATGATTGCATGGGCTGATGCTGCAGATCAAAATCGACCAAAAGGTGGCAGCACACAGGGCATTGTCCCTGGGATAGCAGACAAAACTCTGCTACAAGGAGCCTGTGTTCCTGTTTCTTTGATTTCATGGCACTCTTCCCGCATTCAGAGGATCTGCTCTAGTCCCGGGGCAGCCGAGGCTATGGCGGCTGTTTCAGCGGAAGACCTGCTGTATTTTGGCAGGTTCCAAATGTCTGAGATGTTGGGACATCATTTTCGCATCCAGGATCCCAACCCATTGGTGAATCGAGTGCCTGGCTGTTTGGTGACTGATAGTCGCAACGTATATGACAAACTAAAGGTAGAAGTGATCAGTCCAAAAGGAGCCGAGCGCAGGGTGGACATTACCCTCATGAGATTGAAAGACGCTCAACACCATAACCAGGTTTCCGTTCGCTGGGTTCACAGCGAGGCGCAACTCGCTAACGGTCTGACTAAGGGCAAAGAACTAAGGCAGCTACTTTTGTACTATGAGATGGGACAGTGTTGGCGCATTGTGGAGGATCCTTCTATGGCATCAGCAAGGCGAAGACGCCAATTGGGACAAGCACCTCTTGAAAACAGCACCTCCCAGCAGCAACACAGTGCCAGACACACCACAACTACTGAGCCTACTTGACCCGATGGATTGTTGTTCTCTTTTTCTTGGTGGTTTTTGGTTGGTTCCCCGCGTGTTTTCTGTGTTTGTGTTGATTCTAACGGAGTTTCAGAGATCAGGTGGCATGCAAGAAATCCTTTCTTAGAAGCTCTGTCAACGAGCATGGTTTCCGAGCTTGGGTTCAAAAGGGATCGCAAGGCTTATCCCGGTCGCGTTGCCACCGCATTCGAGCCATTTCGTTCACTTCGCCCCTCCGTTGAGCTTGAGAACATAGGCTGCCGTGCATATATATATGTAATATTATGTCATATTGTTTGGAAGTCGTTTGTGATCAGTTCTGCGCGATGTTTTTCCTCGCTCGTACCTCGTGGAGCCTTTCCTCATGGTACATCACCAAGGAAACCTCACTGGAGTGAAAGCCATTTGAGGAAATAGCAACCGTCAGCAACGACGGTTGCTGCAGAGTACTGGTTTTTGGCTTTTTTAGGCCAAAGCTCCTTGTTTTCGTAGGACCTCCAACATCTGAAAAGTCAGAGTTGGATGGTCCGATGGTCTCTGAAAATGGTGCAAGCTGCGGGGCTGTCGGACAGCACCGTCTAACTTGTGGGCTTTGACCGTTGCTTTG